ATCATAGAACAAAGAAAAGGTATATCTAGTCATCAAAAGAAATATAATCAGTTACAAATGATATAGCTATAAGAAAATAAAGAAAACAAAAAGAGACCTAGACAAGTGAAATAGAGTGGAAACAATGTGAAGGGCAAGCCCGTAACAGTCGCCCCTTCTTCAAAGATGTGTGTCCTCACACATAAAAAAAAATGCAACAAAAAATGAAGAAAACGATAACAAATAATAACAAAAAAACTACTATATGTGTTTAACAATATGATCCAATAGATAACAAGGAAAAAAAATATATATAAATAAAAATGTTTCTTCTCTTTTTTTTTATTGATTTCCGCCGAGATGGAGTTTCTTCCGAATTCGATAATAATGTTCTCTAGTGAATAAGCCATCATGTAACATTTCGTCGACTTCTTTTTGTATTTGTTCATTTTTCATGTCCAAAAATAATGTATTGCCAACGATATTTAAGTTCTCATAATGAATGTTCATAAATATTAATATTTTCTTAATGTTTCTGATGGTAAATTTGTGGTAAATTCGTCGAATAACTTCAAATCTATATCTTCTTGCTCATTTCTTTCTATTTTTCCTTTGGTTTCTTGTTAATGATTGATGTTGCTGATGTTGTTGAGATTGAAAGAGTCTTGTTGTTGTATATTGTTCAATATCATTATCTGAGATTATTTCAATTACATTTAAAGGTTCATATTGACCATGAACCCTTTCTTGAGGTTCACTTAAATGATGTTGTTTCAATGGTAAATGTAATTTCATAATTCCTGGTAATGAAATATCATCAATGTCATTATCATCTATCATTCCATAAGGTTCATCTTGTACATGAACCTCGGTTAATGAATTTGTTTTAATTCATCAGAAATATCATTATCTTTTAATGTTAATTCGTCATCTGGTGCATTAATTTCAACATGATAATTGGTGTCATCAGATGAAGATACATTATCATATTCTTCCTCATAGTAATTAAGTGTAAATATATCATTTGGTGTTGTTGTTGATGTTGAAGATTTGGTTGGTGATGGTAATTTATTCAATAATTTCGTAACACTGAGGCAATCATTTAATGCATAGTTAATTAATAATTCTCTTATTTCTTTTTCATCTCGAATGACTTGTTCTCGCATATACATAAATTGTCTTGGTACAGTTATTGTATGTCAAGCTAGATCAAGACTGCAACCAAAATTTCCGAGAGTATAACGTTTGGTTAACCATTCATTGAATGTGCTGAGGATTGCAAATTGAAGAGGGTGTGGGTGTGGGTGTGGGGGTGGGTGTGGGTGGGGGTG